GTCAGAAAGAACTCCAGTGGAGGTCGATAAACTGTTGGAAGTCTATTGGTGATTGACAAATGGGTGAAAGTCTGATGGTGGCCGAGAAGAACTGCAGTTTTCGACGAACGGGCAGAAGTCCGGTCGTGGTTGATGAACAGGCGGAAGTTTGATGGTGGTCGAGAATAACTCTGGCGATGGTTGACAACAGGGTGAAAGTCCGGCCATGCTCGATGAACAAGTGGAAGTCCGACGGTGGTCAACGAATGGGCGGAAGTCTGATCGTGGTCAACGAACATGCAAAAGTCTTGCGGTGGTTGACGAACGGGTGGAAGTTTGGCAGTGGTCGGCGATGAGGAAGCTCACAAATTCTTCCATTATATTCCTTCTTTCTTCCTCTTCTTCCTCTTCTTCCTCTTCTTCCTCCCCTCTCATGAAAACAATTGGGGCGATTTATAGTTTTTTTTTATAGTGATATGTCTTATAAATATGGGGAAGATCAAGGTCAAAATGAGAGTGGTTTGAATGAGCAGCCGATATTGATCTCTTTGATCGAGGACTATTTGTTGATCATTTGAATGTCTTAATGATAACAGAATTCGACGATTCTCGTTGAGTCGCTCGATTTGACTATAAGCATGTGATGTTTGGAATTCGTTTGGTAGTTCAAATTATGCTTTGAACCATTCAAATATGCTTTGGACTCTTGATTTGAGCTCAGATTAGACTGATTTTGGTGTCGTTGGGTTCGTCTCACCGAGATGTTCAATTTGACAATAATTTTGATGAAGTAGGAATTAGGATGGCCCCAATATAAATATTTTGAAGCCTCCAATTCATATTTGCATCGAAATTCGTGCTCTGATCAAGACGATTTTTCGTAACATATCAATTTGGATATGATTAAATTAATCCCGCTTGTCTAAGGCGGTCATTTTTACATCATTAATTATATTTTGATTAAATTATTTATACTATTGATGATATTAATTAATCCCACTCATCGAGTCAGATTAACAAGATAATGAGGGATGCTAAAATGCTCAATAATCAAAATTTACTTGGAAATTGACTTAACTTTAAATTTGGTAAGTGGTTTATTAATTAAGGGCTTTGGGAATTTATCAAGTGGTTTATGGAATAAAGGCATTGGGAAGATTCTATCTTGGGGTGCAAATGAGTTTGTTGAGTCGACTATTTGTCTAATTGATTTAAGCTCGTTTAATTTTTATTGAGCTCGAGCTCGAGCTTATTTAATGTTCGAAAAAATTATTAGGCTTGAGCTCGGCATGATTACGTAGCTCGTTAGGAAAGCTCGAGCCTGACTCAAGATATAATTAAAAATGTTTAGTATATATTTTGTTATAGTATTCTGAAATTTATTTTGAAATATATTTTAATTTAAACGAGCGGCTCGTCAAGCTTACGAGTTGAGCAGAATCGAGCTATGCTTCAGTGTAGGTTCGAGCTCGAACACGTAGCTCGATAAGCTTACCTCATGAGCTTGTTAAGGAGTCGTGTTCGACCCTACTCGCAAGCCGACTCAGCTCACTTGCAACCTTAGTTAAAAAAAATTTCAATTCAATTCAAAAGCAGAATATAAAGACTTAAACAAGCCCAAAGATATATTAGGTGAATGGAAAGCTTAAACGCTTAAGCTTATCTCACTAAATTTAAAGTTCATTTAAATGAACTTAATCATCATTAAAATTAAAATCATAATTAAAAACATTTCTAAGCTTATATTTTCTAAGTAATTAAAACTATCTTTCCAAACTGGTAATGCATACTTTTTCATACTTCAATAAATTTAAATTAAAATAAATCTAATATTCATTAAAAATGAATTTAAGCATAGTTACATGTTGAGTTAAGCGGATAAATTAAAGCCCAAATGCCTGATAATGATTTTTTTCTGCTTATCAACTTAGACAACTAATCTTTCTCACCTTTCATAAGCTCACTTAAACTCAAACCTTTCATCAATTGGCTTACGTTATATGAATTTAACTTAGTTTAAGCTCCCGACAAACGAGATTTAGGTTTCATTTGAGACAATTTTTTTAATATTTTTTAAATCATCTTTCTAGTACAAATATTTTCTGAACTCAAAATTTTTGTACTAAAAAATTGCTTTAAAATGCAATAAAAAAGTTGTCCAAAACGAAGTCTTAAATTAAAATGCTTAAGTAGTTAAGCTTATATTTCATGATTGTTGCATGTTAGAATATTAAAAGTAATAGAAATAAACCATTTTCTGTCTTAGTTTTATACTAAAGCCCTACAGACAAATAAAAGAGCAATTGCAAGTGACACCAGAGATTTAAAAAGTTGCAAGGCTTGACCTAATTGAAATGATTCTATTAGTATTTATTATCAATTACAAATGATGTCATTCCCTATAAATTACGAACACGTTGATAAAACATAATAAATATGAATTATAAAGAATGAATTCAATGATAGAAGTTAGAAGAGTCTTGTAGCAAGGAAGTCATATTCAAGAGATCATTTGTTGTATTAATGAGCTTATAGGTGAAGGTGTGCATCGATACGATGATGCGCATCAACCTTATGGCTGATTTTATGCATTAATGTTGTTAAAGATGGCAAATGACAAAGCAGTGACCATCAGTGCTGATGTTTGACGGTGTGTATCGATCTGATAGGAGATGACATGCATTGATATAATTGGTGATAGTGGGAGATGAAGCGATATACGTGGTGAGGATACCATAGTGGTTGGGAATGGTTGAGAGACTATAGTCGAACGAAGGTGGTCAAAAGATCATAATCAGGCAATGTTGGTCAAAAAATTATAGGTGGATGATGGTGATTTGAGTATCGTAGTTGGACAATGATGATTAGAGTATTGTATTTGCTTAACTACAGTCCTCTTACCATCATTACCTTATTATGGTCATCCAATTGCCATCAAACTATTATGATCCCCAGAACACCATCACCTTACTATAATTTCTTCACCATTATCACCCGACTACGTACCTTCAAGCACCATCACCTAAATTAAAATAAATCTAATATTCATTAAAAATGAATTTAAGCATAGTTACATGTTGAGTTAAGCGGATAAATTAAAGCCCAAATGCCTGATAATGATTTTTTTTCTGCTTATCAACTTAGACAACTAATCTTTCTCACCTTTCATAAGCTCACTTAAACTCAAACCTTTCATCAATTGGCTTACGTTATATTAATTTAACTTAGTTTAAGCTCCTGACAAACGAGATTTAGGTTTCATTTGAGACAATTTTATTAATACTTTTTAAATCATCTTTTTAGTACAAATATTTTCTGAACTCAAAATTTTTGTACTAAAAAATTGCTTTAAAATGCAATAAAAAAGTTGTCCAAAACGAAGTCTTAAATTAAAGTGCTTAAGTAGTTAAGCTTATATTTCATGGTTGTTGCATGTTAGAATATTAAAAGTAATAGAAAGAAACCATTTTCTGTCTTAGTTTTGTACTAAAGCCCTACAGACAAATAAAAGAGCAATTGCAAGTGACACCAGAGATTTAAAAAGTTGCAAGGCTTGACCTAGTTGAAATGGTTCTATTAGTATTTATTATCAATTACAAATGATGTCATTCCCTATAAATTACGAACACGTTGATGTAACATAATAAATATGAATTATGAAGAATGAATTCAATGATAGAAGTTAGAAGAGTCTTGTAACAAGGGAGTCATATTCAAGAGATCATTTGTTGTATTAATGAGCTTATAGGTGAAGGTGTGCATCGATGCGATGATGCGCATCAACCTTATGGCTGATTTTATGCATTAATGTTGTTAAATATGGCAAATGACAAAGCAGTGACAATCAATGCTGATGTTTGACGGTGTGTATCGATCTGATAGGAGATGACATGCATTGATATAATCGGTGACAGTGGGAGATGAAGCGACATACGTTGTGAGGATACCATAGCGGGTGGGAATGGTTGAGAGACCATAGTCGAACGAAGGTGGTCAAAAGACCATAGTCAGACAATGTTGGTAAAAAAATCATAGTTGGCTGATGGTGATTTGAGTATCGTAGTTGGACAATGGTAATTAGAGTATTGTATTTGCTTAACTACAGTCCTCTCACCATCATTACCCTATTATCGTCATCCAATTGCTATCAAACTATTATGATCCCCATAACACCATCACTTGACTATAATTTCTTCACCATTATCACCCGACTACGTACCTTCAAGCACCATCACCTAACTATAATGTCCCAACAATTATCGACCGGTTATGGTTCTTTGACCACCTTCACCCCAACATCATCACCCAATGGCCCAACTATAAAATTTATATTAATAAAATTATCCTTTTAGAAGCCATATTTTCAACAAAATTAACCCAAACATTTCATTAAAATTAAATTTATTAGTATAAATTTAATCATCATAAGTTTCAAATAGATAATTTAATTTCCTAATAATAAATTAAATAATGAGTATTCAACATTAGAATATAATGGCGAGCAAGGAAAAAAAACTTAAACACAATATAATCAAATAATTTTCTCAACATATAATAACTTATCTTTCATGAACAAAACTTTTTTAGCCTCGCTAAGTTTTAGGCTTGACATCATCCGGCTTAAATTATTTTGGCTTAGTATAACTCAAGCCCTGACCAAAGAAGCCCAAAGGCAGTAGCATAATTGCATAAATCATTTATCATATTTTCCATCACAAAAATTCCATGATGCATGGCGATGACTGTAGAGATACTTCAAAAAGGTTATTCACATTAGGTTTTATATTGAAGGATGAATTATTGTGCACACGCCGAACGTCATCCAGAGCCCAATAAAAATGCGGCACGTCACCCCCTACTCAGTACAACGGCTCGGTATTAAATAATATGACTGCACCTGATTCGCCTATCAACGATAAACTATGTCCGGTGTACGCACAAAAAATATCCAGTTGAAGAAGCTGATTGTTGGTTGATCTTCATCTCAATTTAAAAATACCAAATGTATAGGAAGAAAGTTTGGAGAAGAATGTGTGGATATATATGTATATATAACTTTATCGGGTGGTATTTCAAGGACAAATATGAACAATCCCCCTCAATTCCAGAATTTTTGCTTCCCCATCCCCACATTCTGCACTGTAGGAATTCAACACCTGAATTCAAAAAAAAACAAACAGTCATCAATAGATCTCATTGCCCAATTTCTTCCAGCTTTCTGATAACCTCTCTGATATCTGGTCTAAGAGCAGGCAAAGGCGAGCAGCAAGCCATTGCCAGTTGATAGAATCTTCTGAGAAGAGCTTCAATGTTGGAACTCTGGTCTTTTCTTTCACTGATGAGTTCACTACTGAACACATCCGACATCTTCTGATTGAGCACCAACAACCTGCAACTCGTCGGTTCCTTGCGAGTGAGCATCTCGAGCAAGATGATCCCTAAGTTGTAGATGTCGGTCTCCATACTCGCCTCCTTTATCTTGATCAGCTCAGGGGCTTTGTAGCCCTCAACAGTTAAAGCCTCAAACATTCCTTGTGCTGCAACAGGTCTCAGTAGGAGATGAAGGCCGAAATCGGATAGGCGGGGCTGGAGATCATAATCCAACATAATATTTTTTGACTTGAGGTTACCATGAATGAGAGGTTTGTGTAATCCATTGTGGAGGTGATCAAGTCCTTTGGCAATTCCCACTGAAATGTTGTATATAACTTCCCATCTGTTAGATAAGTTGGACTCACGACTTTCACCTGCATAGAGATCATGCAAAATCAGACAGGCAAAACAGTATTCAAAAGACAACCTGCAGCAGGATGGTAATTTTGATGACAGGATTCAATTCACTTAATGCTCAAGCAAAGAACGATGAGATGGTTAGATCAGTAGTCTCAGTCACACTTAAAAAGAATCAGTTGAATTGTGATTCAAGGACTGAATCTGTTTTACCAAACACTCATATGTAGGGCTCATTTGGTTGCTTCTAGCTGAAAATATGGCTTAGAAAATGGAAAATTATTTTGTGCGGAAGTGGAACCCCGTTCGGATGCCTAAGCCCCCGGCTCGGTACCATTCAGTACTGCAGTACCGAGCATCGGTACAGCTTGGTACCGCGGATTGGTATGGCTGACGTAGCTCATTTTAATTGATATCCGGATGTACTGCGTTCGGCGTCCGCACAAAATAATCTCTCTAGAAATGATGTTCTCGGTTTCATTCATTTTATGCACAAATACACCTTTTTTGTGAGAAATTTAAGACAAATTTATACACACATCACATACGTAAGCTTCGAATCCAAGACTTCCTGTGAGCTGTGTATGCGCAAATACCAAAATTATCACATTTGAGAGAGTTGTGAGGAAATTTATGAAGATTGAAATTAATCTTGATTTCTAAATTCTAATTGCATATAATAAATTTCATCTTTTCTGTCATCAATGAGCCTTCAGCTCAAAACACAAAGAGTGGAACTCTAACATTAATGAGCAAAATGGTAGAATAATAGTAAATGATAAAAATGATGCCTCCTGGAGAAATGAAGCAGCTATCCTAAGTTCTCAATTTAGGGCCCATTTGCTTGCTTGCAGCTAGAAAACATATCCAGAAAAGCAATCAAAGTTGATAGATTCATATTAAATTGGATGCAATTAAAATCACCATTGATTTTGAGTCTCATAAATCCTCTAAAAACTCTATTATATCTAATGATTTTATTTCTCCCATAAATACTTAGAAACGAACTCATTTTTTTCAAATTTTTTTTTTGATCAACAAACAGCTAAAATAATCCTTAAAATAATAAGCAATCACATCGAAGTAACCAAAATTACGAGCGAATGGGCCAAAAAACACCCTAAAAATGCGAACTTTCACCATCTTCTCTTCCCAAAAATCGATAATACATTTTGTATTTACCCAATCTGCTTAGATCATTCCAAGAAACAAAAAAGGTACCTTTTAGAAACTGTGCCAAATTGCCTGCGGTGTAGAAGGGGTAAACGAAGAGCTTCTCCCCTCTCGGTCCCACGTATAGCGACCTAAGAGGAACTAGATTAGGGTGCCGGACGAGCCCAATCACCCGGATCGCCGGCAGAATCTCCTCGCTCCGGCCAATGCAGACCGGCCGAAGGAACCGGAGCAGCATAAACGTGCTTCCATCTCCGTCGGCGGTTCTCTTGATGCTGGCTCTGTAAAAAGTCCCGTAACTCGACTTCGCCACAACCTCACCCGGCGCGTTCAGGATGTCCTGGATCCTCAAATGCTCGCCACCCGCGAACACCACTAGCTCTTCTTCTTCAACCTCCGCATAGTCGAAATCCCCTATCTCCACGGATTCTTCGTGGCTTTTTTGTATGATTCGAACCCTTTTCGTGCGAATATAACAATAGAAGACTGCGGAGATGAGGATGAGAAGGAAAAGGAAGGGGAAGAGTACGGCGAGAATGATTCGTAAATGACCGTTCCATTTCATTTTTTGGCGACGTAGCGTTAGTCTGAGTTGGAGGAGCTCGGGAGAGTTGGCATTGATGAAGGTTTTAGGGATTTGGTAAAATTAGGTTCGTTAAAAGACGAAATTGATGGAAAATTCATTTTCATGGTGGGGTTGAAGAAGGGCAGGAGGAGAAATTTGACAGAAATTGTTAGGGTTTTCTTTGAGGCAGGAGAAAGAGTGAAGAAAGTTTTCGCCTTTGGGAACCCGCGCTACAGCAGAGAGGGGGGAGGTGGTGGAGGAGGGAGGAGGGAGGAGGGAGGAGGGAAGTGAAATGGAGTTTTTTCGTAGGTTGGAATGCCACGTGGAAGACAATCCGTGGTTGGATTGTCTGTAGGAACAATCGTGCGGTAGATCTAGTTCTTATATGATCGACTGAGCATATATAAATGTACATTTATTATATACGTGTTGAATTACTCAATTTAACTCGGCTTTATTGGAGAGGCGAATTTGGTAAAGTTAGCCAAATATATTTAAATTTTATTTGTTTAATTCTCTCTGCATATTTCAATCGGGATATATATATTGATTATCTTTTAAGGGCTTAAATTTATTTAATTTATATATATAAATAACATAGAACAATGGAGAATAAAGATTCATGTAGCCAAATACATATTGAGATAAAGACTTGATATTGTTGTTATTCTATATATAAATAACATGTAAATTTTATTAATTATAAAAAAATATTTCAGTAATACAATCTTGATGACGAAGATAAAATTACGTTGGGTTGTGACAAAAATTTATTGGATGAAAAATGGAGCCAATGATAGTAACAGGCAAGGGTGAGTCGAGATGGGATGGGAGGAAATTCATCAAACAAATAGTGCTAGCCTTAACGATGATGTTTTATCTGATGTGATAAGGCAAAAGTTGGAGACGTAAAATCTGGTGAACAAGATGCAGGTTGTGAAATCCATAGAACTCGCATGGATGCGAACCATCTTTGCATGTCGCTTCCAACCATCCTACAGGGAGCTTGCGTTGAAAGCTATTGTAAGTTCATCTTCGTCGTTGAAATTCAATTAAGAGAGTGCTATTTTTTTTTTTTTGTAAAATTTAGGGAATGTGCATTTTGGTTTTTATCTTTTGATGGCCATTGTAAAGTAATTCTCAAGTGAGATTATATCAAGGTGAAAATGGTTGGGACTTAGATATAGGGTTATGTTTGCAATTCCATCATTTAATCGGGGGGAAAGCTCATAATAATGATAAAAAAATTGTATTTAATTAATGGATTCCAGCATTTTGGCTTGCTAAATTGGTTTGGGACATTTGGGTAGGCTTGCAACTAATTATAAAAAAAAATGTTTTTTTTCTAAGATAGTTAGGGATTATGATAAAGACATATATTATTAAATAAAACTTTCAACAATTAATTTGAATATGAAATTATGTTATGGCTAACATGATCTTTAGGATATAGATCCATTTAATTTAATTAACTAATGTAAAAAACAATTAAGAAGACTAAACATTGTTACAAAGTATCAAAGAATAAAGTTAGTGCATTAAGGGAAAAACAATTGGGTCAAGAAATTCTAGCTCCATTTTTTATGAGAATATCCTTGGAAAATTAACAAATAAAACTTTTTATTATATTTAAAATATATAAAATTATGGTTTTAATTTATAGATAATACAATAATAATGAAAATGTATATTATAAAAAAATTCATAAACTAAGAAATATATTAAAAAATTTATACGTGATCATCATATGTAACAATATTATAGGAGTGAAATAAAAATTTCTCAAAATGCATATAATAATTTTACACATAAAATTTAAATTTATGAAGATATTTACTATTAAACTTATATCAAAATAATAATAAAAATAATAAGGCCTACTATTATTTTTGAAATATTTTATTTTAATTTTCATATCACATGAAATTATGAAAATATATTTCGTTATATATATATATATCTTTGTGTGTGTTCTATGTGTATTTCTTTTACTTTTCATACTAATAACTTTAATACAAATGCATAGACATAAATAAAATAATATGATCACATAAAAATTATTATGAAAATAAAAAGGCTATATGAGGATTATATAAAAATATAAAGATATTTTGATAATGTGACATGCACTTATGGAGAGGTCATCTATATTGCTATGCTAATGTTCTCTTTCTCCATTATTTTTCTTTTTTGTGGTGCATCTGATGTTCTGATGATGGTCTCTGTTAATTAAGGTTTAATTTTTATACTAAAATTCTATTTTAAGAAGCAATAGAAAAGCCGTCCCAAATGAAGCCTAAACCTCTAATTAATGAGTAGCGCATGTTGTTTTGAAGCTAATCTCCTTAGAGTTGGCAAATGAAAATTTTGATAGTTAGAATAATTTAAATAATTTCATGAATGAATTAATTATCAAATTAGCATCATTAGAATATGAAAATCATATGTCAAAATACTGATATTACAATTTTCACCTCTTTAGGAGCAAACAAAGATGACAAATAGCTTGTGAATTGAAATTCTAAGAAAATCTAAGAAGTTGTAAAGATTAGGTTTTGACCTCTAAAAAATAGCCAATAAATTACTATTTGTATGAGGAAATGTTTGTCTTATTAATAGCAATCTAATTTCATAGTTGGTTCGCAAATTGTGTCCTATAGAGATTACAAAAATTCGAAGAAGTTGATATTTAGGCAAGCATGCACAAATTTTGGAGCATGACATCGGGATGGTGATAAGCTGCATTAAGAAGCAGTAATAAAGCCGTCCGAAATGAAGCCTGAATAGATTGTTCATGGCAATTGATGGTGATAATAACTATTCATAATATAGTGATTGGCATGCCCAATCGAGAATGAAAGAGCATAATTGGCTTTTTAAATAAGATTGAATTGGCCTAAAGTTTTGAAAAGTTGTCATTCAATGTTGTAAAAAAGACATTTATTCAAAATGCCCTTATGACAACACTCTACATAAATTACAAGTGATGTGTCTTATGCTTCGTTTGGGACGGCTTTTTTAGTGCTTCTTAAAGCAGTTTTTTAGTACAAAAATTAATTTTTTTCTACTTAAAAGCTACTTTAAGAAGCATAATGAAAACCGTCCCAAACGAAACCTTAGTTACTTTATTTGTCGTGATATAGGCTTGAGTGGAAAGATTGAGGTCAATGTATATTTGAACTATTTCTTTAATTAAGTTGGAATAGATTGGATAAGGGCAAATTCCTTTGATAAGGATTCTTCATATCGACTTGGGATATTCACTTAAAATTATGAAGACTTTACTAAAGAGCATTTTGAAGTATTGCTGAAGGGACTTCTTGTAACAACTCAAAATTGCAAAAAGGGAATTTTAAATGAAAAGATTTGAATTTATGTTTTACATTCATTTTCATTTATTTAGAAGTATTCTAAAGCTTGAGAATGGGTGTGTGCGCTCTAAAATAAGTCTCAATGATCTGGAGAGAATTTTGACAAAATTTAAAAAATGTTACTATTTGAGCGCCTTAGCGCAACTATAGCACCACATACTAAATAATGACATTGCAACGCTTCAATCTCTGTATTTTGGATAAATGAACTAGCGCAGCAGCACTAGGCAATTATCTTAATTTTTATATATTTTCCAATTTACTATTCTAATTCATTTGAACGCTGAGCCAGTTGAAGTAAAGAGAGAGGGAGAGGGTTTTTAGAGAGAGAGAGAGATAGAGAGAGAGACTCGGATTTGAGCTGCTCCATGTCATTTTAGTCATCGAGCTAGTTGAAAAAGTTGTCCGGATTGAGATATGTCATATTATGCTTATTTCTGTTTCAAAAATTTTGATATTTTAGTGATATATCTGATTAAATTTTTAATTTCGTGGATAACTTTACACTATTAAACTTTCATCTTATCATTTTTTGTATGCTTTTGAGAATGAGATTCTGAACATGTTGATTATTTTTTAGAAATTTTATGCTGGGTATTTTGAAATTTGTATGGTTTTAATTGAATAAAAAATAATCTAAACTTTGAAAAATAGTGCTTTATTATGACTAAAGTCTTGAAATGATGTTTTACAGAAAGTATCTAGACGCTCTTGTCCTGAGACCCATTTGAGTTAAAGCTAGTCCATGCGACCAACTACTGGTTAACAATTGTGGTCGAATTACAACCACATCTAGCAAAGCTTATGATTGGTAAGCATAGGGTAACATTTTCAAGTTTTTCATGTCACCAATCTAACGAAGCTAATGAATTGAGATTTTGATAGTTAGATTGATAAAAATCATTTGAGAAGATAAGAATCTATATTAGGGTCACAATCAAGAATATTGTAACATCACAAATGGCTTATAAATTAAAATCCCATGCTAATCATATTATATCCTTAAAGTATTTGAAATCAAATTTGGGTTGTCCAAAAATTGCAATGATCACTAATTTTTATGGCAAAGTATTCTTCAGCTTCCTAAGAGCAATTCTCAAGTAGAGTTATTTATACATCGAAAAAAAAAAAAAATGATCAGGCACGAATTTCGAGACATATCCAAGTTAAAAACTTCAAAAATTAAATTGGAATCAAACTCTGATTTCAATAAACTTATAGTCAAATTGATTGTCTCAAAGAGACGAACTCAACGACACCAAAATTAGTCCAATCTAAGCCCAAATGAGCCCAAGTCAAAGGTTTGGGACATATTTGGAAGGTCCAATGCATTAATTGAAGGACCAAATGAACATCAAATATAGCATGCTTATTGTTAAATTGAGAGGATCTACGAGACGAATCCAACAAGGCCAAGATCACTTAATTCCGACATCATTAAGGCACATAAATGCTCTATAATTGTTTAGATTAAGGTCTTATTTGGTAGCAGAACTCCTTTCGTATAATTTTGATGAGAAACAGTTGTTCCGAAAAAGCCTTTTATCAATGGAGAAGCAAAAAAGTTAAAGATTGGGAAATAGGTAAGATAAAAAACACAATTTTACAAAAAGTAGGCTTTCACACAGCGATCGAAAATAATTTATACGTCTCGAAATGAAAACGACAAACACGCACACACATCACATATAGAAGACTCGAACCCAAAACTTTTTAGGGCATCTCTAACCGAACTAAAAATGCTTGAATGGCGTTGTTGCAGAGCTCCAGCGGAACGATAAAAATTCTGCTATTTGCTTGCGGTTGAACAGTGGGAAGCCAATTTTGGCGTTGCACTGTTCATCCCCGCTATTTTTCTCTCTACCTAACTTGCCGAAGAAACGCGCGAAAAGAAGAAAGAATGTTACTTTCTCATATTTGGAGTTCGATTGGATGAATCACGGCATTTATTTTAGTTTCACGCCATTTTGAAGTGAAAAATGAGATTTTCGGTTGGAGATGGTCTTAATTGATAGCCAAAATTTCTAACAAATAGATTAAGATGAGTTGTATCCGAACTGCCACTAAATGAGGCATTCAATACTCAGAGTAATTGGCAGCCCAAATAATTTCAGTAAAAAAAAAGTCCTGACGCCATTGAATACAAACAGGTGACAGAAACCTGCAGACTTCTTATAACCCAGCAAGCGATTGGCTTTGTTTTTTAGGGCTTCGAGTTAACAGCAAAGCATTTCCCAATAATAAATACAATAGAAAATACAAACAGTGTAAGAATCCTTCGGGCAGCCCAACACCCCCTAAATGATGAAAAAAAAAAGAAAAAAAAAGTAGTTTTCGCTGTCAACATCAGAGCTTGAAATTAAAACTGGATTAAAATAAGGTCACAACAACACAGGTTGTCTCTGGCCACTTTGATACGGCATAATGAATGCAAGCAATAGGCTCTCTGCATTAAAAGCAGAAGCTCGAAAGTTTCATACTTATTAGTCCACTACGTGTTTCAGATCATTAGGTTGCTGAATTGAATAGCCAACCATCCGACTTTATGAGACTTTTACTCTCCATGCGCATCATTCGAATCACTCACTATCCACTACAGATATATAAAGGACGCTTTTTGGAGTTTTTCTGATTTTTGAATATTATAGGAAAACTGCTGCGAACATTGAACTACTTACCCTATCATTTCAGTTAGGGGTGTCAATATTTGACACGACACGAAAATCCGACCCGGACCCGACCCGGAAAATCCGGGTTGGACCTGACCCGATTTCAAAACGGGTCGGGTTCGGGTTCTAGAAATTGACCTGTTTAAAAAACGGGTCGGGTCCGGGTTGACCCGACGGGTTGCCGGGTCAACCCGCCAACCCGTTTAGTTTACGTTTTCCACCCGGGTCAGTTCGGGTTCGACCCGAACCCGACCCGTGACCCGAAATTGACACCCCTATTTCCAGTGTGTAGGAGATGGAAACTCCTTTTCTTTTTGTTTTTTTTTTTTCTGAATTTGTTTAAGTTCATACCTACCAAGCAGTTCTGGGCCAAGAAGTCAAACAAATAAAGTATGTGGAGAAAATTGCATAGGGTCGACAAAAGCTTATTCATGTTTAATCGTATTTGATACCTCACAAAAAATGGAATATTGAGGCATATTTAAGTTGTAAACTTTCAAAATTAAATATTGGACCATTCTAACTCCAATTCAGCAAACTTATAGTGAAGCTGAACGTCTCAAAGAAAAAAAACCTAACAACATGAAAATCGGTTCAATCCAAGCGCAAAGGAGTCTAAATTGAGGGTCTGAAGCACAATTGGAAGGTTAAGAGTATAAATTGGATAGCCAAATGATATCCAAATATAACATGTTTATAGTCGAATAGAGCGGCTCGACGAGAGAAATCCAAGAAGCTCAAGAACGCTTGATTCTGACATCATTATTGCACTCAAATGCTTAATGAATGCTCTATGATCGAGGAAATCGATATGTGCCGTCCGATTGACCACTCCAATTTTGTCCTAGATTTTCTTCATATTTATAAAGCACACCACTCTAAAAAATCTATAAATATATCATCACTTCCCACATGGAGGGCTGGGCTTGGACCTTTGGTTGGAAATTGGAGAGAGCTTTGAGGGTTCAAGTGCTCCAAAACCACCACCGACAAACCTTTGTCGATCTTCACCGAACCACCACCTGGTCGTCGGACTCTTGCTCGACCATCATCCGACCACCACTCGGCCGCTGGACTTCTACCCAACCACAGACCGTCATCAGACGCCTGCCGACCATCGTCAGACCACCTCCCGATCGCCGACCGCTGTCAGACTCCCGCCAGACCATCGTCATACCACTACTTGGCCGTCGACCACTGCCGAACTTCTATCCGATCGCCAACCACAACCGAACTTTCACCCGACCATTGTCAGACCATCGTCTGGTCGCCGACCGCCGTCGGACTTCCACCCTGCCACTAACCGCCGCCAGACGTTTGACCGAACATTGTCAGGTCACCACCCGACAGCTGACCTCCACAAGACTTCAACCCAGCTGTCGATCATTGTTGAACCTTTGCCCCTGCCATCGACACACTACTCCGACCTTTGTTGCCTGCAGATTACGATCACTCCGGCCTTAGTCGCCCACTGACTATAGTCCCTCCAACCACCATCGCCTGCAGGTTATGGTCCCTTTGACCTTCATTGTCTGCCGACTATGGTCCCCCTGAACTCCGTCACATGTCGATTACGGTCCCTTGAACCACCATCACCAGCTAACTATGATCCCTCTGACCACATTCGCTCCCCGATTATGATCCCTCCGACCACCATTGCCCGCCAACTGTGATCCCTCCGACAACCGTCACCTAAATATAGTTCTGCCAAGCAAATGAACATGCCAATGTTCTCTTGAGAATAGCTCCTTTATCATTATATTCTTCCAACCTCAACTATATAATGTGTTGTGATGCCTCAGAATCTAAATTGAAAGAATTATTCTTTTATCTTTTAATAAATAACAACCAGAGCTATCTACTATTATCTATCGATAATAAATAATGAAAACATATTCTATAATTCAAAACATTAATGTACACATCTATATGAATTCCCAAAAATTATATACAATACTCACGATTTAGACAATCATCACACATCTATCATATGATGTGTACAAAAGAATAGTTAAAAAAATAGAAACCGAGGAATCATGATTTGATCAACTCAGACACCTGATCCTTTACCCTGCTATGAAAATATTTAATTATATATAATGAGCTAAAAAAGTCTAGTAGGTCACCAAAACCTATAATATAACTCAAAACAATGTGAAGGAGTAATATGCATGTCAATAATCAAATCATAGTAATTACATCGATATGATCAACAAATCAATGCAAAAATAGTGAAACTGTACAATACGAAAGACAGTAAATCAATACGAGTGTCAAATCAATAAAGCAATCATCATATAAATACTATAATCAGGAGAAATTTTTTATAAAATGATTAAATCAAATCACTGATAAAGACTATCGAAATCAAATTAAAGTAGTAAAATCATATACGAGCGTACACATGCTATATAGTTATTTTATATCAATATTAAATCAGTATCTTAATCACATGCTAAATATATCCTTGTATATCAAGTGCTCAATGTATATATATTATATTTTTTGTATCAATAAATCAATAACAATGTTAATAATAAATTTGTATAGTAATATGAATAATGCCTTAATAATAATCATTTCAATAGTCGCACTAAACAAGCAAAAATCTGGCTATCACAGTATTTTTTAATAATGTATCAATGTTAGTAAACTGTTGGTTCAGTAAACAGAGTCGTCACTCTTTGCTCGTTGGCACAATAATAATCTTCTTATAACTCTCAATCAGTTTATTGCGTGAATCAGTAGATGATAACAACAAATCTTAGTATTTAAAGAAAAATCTATCGGCTCACCATTATGTATATGTCAATCAATCTCTAACCAATGTTTAACCACTATTTACTTGTCTTTACACACATATTATTATCATAATATGATAATAATCTTAATAAAAAATCTACATTTATTTTCAATATATTGCAGAAAATAAAACATAATTAAGCTTAATTCAGAAAATGACAAAATATCCTAAAGACAGACAACAAAACTCTATTGAACAAAAATTCTCATTTTCATAAATTAACCAAATTATCAAAGATTGTGTAAAACATCATTCTGAAATTTTAATTGAACTGAAGCACTATTTTTATATGTCAAAATAAATTTCAGAGTAGACAAAAATTGTTATTTTTTTAAAATCACTTATTAAAAAATTTCGAAATATATTCAAAATGTTAAAAATCTCAATCCTTATAACATATAAAAAGTTACGCAGTGATAGTTTTATAAATACAAAATTATTCTTATTTTTCGGCAACAAAATATAAATTTAATTGAAAAATACAAAAAAACACAAAATTATTGAAATAAAAAATAGGTAAATGTTCCTTAGAGCAAGACAAACAATTGAAAAATCATAAGCTAAACAAAAATCTAATATGGTCTTGCCACCTTCATTCGTCGTTCCAAATCCATGGCCACCATGAATGCTTTTAAAATCAACTACCTCTTTACCAACATGTCCATTTAAATCTCCTCCAATAAAAACTCTTTCTTCAAGAGGTATATTTTATGACTCTCAAGCAAAATTTATATTTGTGAACAGCTTGTAACAAAAAGTAAAAATAAAAAACAAGTTTGCTCGATGAGACAAACATGAGCACTTGAATTTTACTCATGCTTGGGCTCGCTTATATCCATATAGAGCACCCAATATGAAGAGTAAAAAATAAACCAAAAAAGGTAAAATGAAAAAAAGGGGCCAAATTACCCATTTCATCAAAAAGATCCCTGAAAATTGAAATATAATATGCATATTATATTTACAGAACTTGAAATGACACAATTTTAATTTGCAGATGATATGAATATAAACAAGACATCTGTAATAAATCTACAATAAAACATCTAAACACTAAGACATTCATTTATAATCAACAAAACATGCCTTCTACAAAGCCAAATAAAAATTCTCCAAATACATAAACAAATCATAGACAAAATATAAATTTATGTATCTATTTACTATAAAATAAAAAATAAAGCATTAAGACAGTCCTTTCTGATATATTTAATACTCCCTGTCATATATATTCACTTCGTATGAGACTAGTATTCCATACTAGTACCAACATTTGAAGCCCATACTATCCTGACCCAATTTCTTCCAAAAGAGAATAATAAATACAAAAATCGGGTTTACGACAGACTAGTAAAACTGCTATTAAAGATTCAAAACGTATGGTCCTTGAATTGTTACCCCTTATATACATACTTGATACAAGTAACCGACCTGCTAATTGACTTAGGTTTCATTTAGGACGGCCTTTTTACTGCTTCTTAAAGCAACATTTCAGTACAAAAATTAAATTTTTTTACAATAAAGCTGCTTTAAGAAGCAGTAAGAAAGCCATCCCAAACGAGGCCTTAGCATCACTTGCTGATAGATGACTTAGGGTTCGTTTGGGACGACTTTTTTATTGCTTCTTAAATCAGCTTTTTAGTATAAAAATAAAAAAATTTGTACTAGAAAGCTACTTTAAGAAGCAGTAAGAGAGTCGTTCCAAACGAAGCCTTACAGGTAGACGCCTCAGCATCAGCAAGTTTGAAAGAGAAAAGAGGCGTTTATTGACACTTGGTGACTAAACATAAGAAGGCAAAGATAAAGAGACATATGTGCTTAAAAATGTGCAATACTCTCTGTTCACAATTTCACTACCACTCCACTCATCAGGCAGGGGAGCCCAATCATTCCCATCTGATCAGCCTCAAGAGAGCAGCTCTCGACTCCCCGCTTCTTATTATCATGACAACGGAGCCAGAGGCATGAAAGCCTTGCAATAGCTGCTTGACTTGCAAATTGCATCCTGTAAACTAAGCTCAGTTCTGCCCATAGGCTGCTGTTCCCAACGTATCCATCAAGATCAGATTTTGATATCATTACAAAGGAGCTGTCTTCGAGAGTTGGATGGTGTGGGGAGGTGGAAATGAGGCTTAATGATGATGGGAAAGAGTTGTCCAAATTATTGTAGGAATTATTATGTTTCTCCACCGCAAGATGGTAGTATTTTTGTACAGCCTGAGTTAGAAAAAAAAATCTTGAATGGAGACAAATGTTTTGTTATTTATGATGAGTGTTTGATTGATGTTATCTCTCACATGGATGTAATGTGAATAAAAGTAGTCAAGATAAGATAATCTAGATAAATTGGATTCTAACTAGAATATCTCAAATTTTTAAAAAAATCAAACAAATATTTCTGTGAATCACAGGAGAAAAAGTCATGTAAAATATTGAAAGATACCTGCCACTGTGATGAAGCCAAGAGAACTCTCGGCCTAACAATTCTGACATGCTCAAATGCTGCACTAGGTGTCATTTGCTTGTATTTTACCTAAATTATAAAAATCATTACCAAGGACCCCATTATAATATCCGTATTTTTAGGGTGGGGGGGAAGTTCTTTAATAACATACCAGGTAGCAGAGAACAATAGTTGTGCTGCGTCCACGCCCAGCTTTACAGTGAACATAAGTAGTTTTCCCACAAGATACATTCTCTTTTACAGTAACAAATAACAAAGTTAAAATGAATTCCAATTTCCAAGATACTAATCAGGTTTCAAAAGAATGCTATTCATTTTGATTAGTTTTTGAATTGAATATCAAAAGAAGAGATATTGGGTAATGTAAAATGATAAGTAACAATGAAGAAGTTCTAATCTAAGTTCGATAATAAGATATAGGAATATTTAAAGTTGACAAATCCAAAACTATCTTAAAATACCAAAACAATGAACGTAAGAGAATATATGTGTTATCTTCATAGAATCTTAGAAACTTAGAAACTGATTCAAGCGATTCAAGCGATAGTGATATCTTCATAGAATCTTAGAAACTGATTCAAGCGATAGTGATATCTACGAATTAGCAGAAAGTTTGGGAAGAATCCAAGAAATATTAGTGTTCCATAAGTAAACTTCGTAGTAACGAGTTGTCTGCAACTAAATATCCCCAAATCATCAGGCCATCATCTTCCCGTTTAGGAGGAACTACCAATTGCTATAAAATGTTTGATGTAATTAAACTAAAAACACTGGAACATAAGAGATAAATTAATAAGCATAAAAAGAATATCAGGGAATGAGAACAATGAACAAAGGAAAAACTGATGAAAAAAATGTGTCATAAAGAAAACAATGAAAAGAATACAAAAGGAGGATTTATTCATTTCGTTATACATAACAGTATGGTTATGAGTAACATGAAAAACATGAATATGCAAATATGCATTGTACCAGACAAGTCGCATTAATAATTCTGGACCAAAATTTGGGCATCAATTAGATCAAAGAAGTTTAATATTCATGCAAGCTTGGACTGCAAAAATGCTTGAAGCTTCAAGGAACAAAGTTGTTGAATGATTGTGAGACCCACAAGCCAATCAATCTCGATAGAAATTCTTGAGCACAAGGATTAAGGGTTCGAACCATTAGATCCATCCTCTTATGGCCCTTAGATTGCAATCCATGTGCCTCCAATTCCGTTTGCCTTAGAGATATTTTCTTTTCTTTTTTTCTAAACAACTTTGATTTATTACCATTGTAAGACTTTTAGAAAAGTCTATGTATAATTTGACATTTTGTATATAATCAACCAATAAAATTCAAATTAGCTTTTTCTACTTTTCTATTTTCTACAAAAAAGGATTGTCCCAATTTTAAAGCAACAACACTAAGGTTGACCATTAAATAAGGATCATTCAATACTTTGAAAGAGAAACTTGGAATGAGTGAATGAAGGAGGGAAAAGTTAAAGATTTTGATAACAATTAAAATCTAATCCATTTCTGAAACAAGCTACTTGAAAGGAAAATCTTTTTCTAGGAAATTTAAGAGTTCACTAGGTGACACATACATTGAACTTCTGGGGCTACAATATTTAGGAAGTTGACAAATTCATAAAACAGCTTTTTTTACACTTCACACAAAACAATATTATATGGGCATAATATTACAATCTGCAAGAGAAAATAGACCTCCAAATGCACGTTAAGCTAAATACGGAATACTTACTGTGAATGAAATCTACAGCCCGACATATATCCCCAAAAGCTGGAGCAAATAAGTAATCTCTAGTTGGTAACACCAAATGCTCAATCCCATAAGCCTGTTCTCAAAAAAAGTAGTTGAACTACATCACTTGCACAGTACTTGGAAAACAAAACAAATATAATGCAAAAGATGCGTCCTTTATCAAAATAAGCCCAACGCCAACCACCACAATAAACATTAAAAGGGTGATAATATGTAAAACAATAAGCTTAAGAGATGAAGCAAAAGAAGAATGAGATATGGAATGCCTCCACATGAACTGAGAAAAAAGACGATGACATCAACTAGAGGTCCATGTGTTGACCTATATTTTATTTTTGTCTTTTACTCCTTTCAAGATTCCACATAATCTTTTTTAATTCAACCTCCTACCCCTACATTATCTCCCTCCTAAAAAAAATCTAAAATATCTCTTATACCCTTTAAAACAACCAAACTCTACTAATGAATAAAAATATTTAAACACATCCATTTAACTAGATCAACCAAGACCGCAACTATATAATCAAATCCTCCTGGAATATGCAATGACAAAATAACTAGGTGTACATAGCAAGTATTAAATATATTCAACTTATTAATAAACATTTTTACACACATCTATTAACATTCATATTTCAAATCTTCCTTCCGGTAATGATGAGTTTCCTCTATGATAGTAATGATGTTGATAAACTCCACCTTATAGCTATGCGTTGAATGGCAAGTATCTTCCTTTTGATGGTGAAAATGACCACGATAAAGAGCTACTCTGGCAATTTGACAACAGTAAGTCCTCCATGCAACTGTAGTGAGGATCAACAGTTGATATGCGGTGAATAGTCTCTCTCAAGCTCTCAGGAAAGCAAAGAGTCTTGTCCGGTGAGGTTAAATGGGAGGAATAGGTGTACAAATTGGAACATTATGTTTAATATTATGCATAAACATACATAAATTTAAAATTTATCATGTCTTTGAGTTCAATACCTCCCTAATAAATACATGTCATTAGTCAAAGGAATAAATAATAAAGTTTTGGTAAACTTCAAATAGCATCCCACAATTTGCCCAAAAAAAGGAAGAAAGGACACAAAAAAAAAAAGCTTTTGAATATTCACATTAGCATATAGTAAGATATAGTTTGACTATTTAAAAAAAGAAGTCCACGATATTCATATTGAAACAACAAAAATTCAGGGAAAGTGATAATTCTACAAAATAGTTTAGGCTAGCTTAGAACAAGATATCTCAAATTTGAGGCAAGAAAGGGTTAAACAATTGTTTAGTGACATCTTCAGTTTTTAGAAACCTATTCTAGTCTCTAATTTATCACATATCTTTAAATAATATTTCATGACTAAATGAAATCACGCACTAACTGTAGGAAAGCTCTACAAGCTTACAAAAACTTTTGCCTGTCGAAAGTAGACATCATTCCTCAATGTATCTAAGTGGGATGAAACATGCATCTCCTTCATGCCACAAGGAAGTATTGCTACACACACACACACTGTCTCTCTCTCTCTCTAAATTCAAAATAATTAGAAATTGTGAAAGCTCAAGGATTTTCTAACACCATGAAAATAAAGTAGCTCCAACCTTTTAGTTAGATTGAAACAAATTAAAGTTACAAGTTTCGTAAGTTTGTAAAAATATCTTCGAAGCATGCAACTTAAATGAGCGGTCAGCCATGGTAAAAGAATGAATGAATAAATAATGTTTTCTTTTTTAAAATTATGGCTGAGAATCAACATATGTTAATGGCAAATATGGCTAAATTTAAAAAAGAAACACTATAAAAAATTCTATAGCAAAAAAAAAAAGTAATCAGGATAAATTTATTAAGAAGCTTAAACACTAAAATATTTTACATTTTTACAAAAAAGGCAAATGTATTTTGCATTTTTTAAGTAATTTAGCATTTTCTTCAGAAAATGCTAACCATTTTTGCATTTTCTTAAGAAAATGCAAAAAAATAGTGTTTCTTAAGAAAACGCAAAATATTTTTACTTGTCTTAAGAAAATACAAAGACATTAAAAATATTTTATGCAAAGTAAATGGTGGTGAGTATTCACACCGAATATTTGTTTAATATTTATTTTATAAAATATTGTATAACTGATACTCCATAAGGTGAAAAGACAACACCTTTCTCAATTCCCTCGTCATCACAAACGGTAAGAACCTGAAGAGTTTGGTCCTTACACGTGTGCTCTGGAATATACTTCTCGTCACATCTGAAATAGATTCCCTTCGCCCTCTTCTCCTGTTATTTCGTTTCTGTCAGCTTCTTGATGTTGTCCCCATGTCTTCCTTCTACAGTCTTTTCCTTTGAAGTCCCACGAAGAATATCTGGTGTTGCCTCCGTGGATGCCAATAAGGTGGTGGTCATCTTTTACGAGTCTCCTAAGCTGCTGCTCCTATCCTTCTCTATAGGTGTCTCTAATCATCCACCAACTGAGCTAGATTCATGGCCTCTCCCAAGTCACAAGGCCTCATCACTCTAACTGCTGCCCGGATCTCTGGTGTCAGTCCCTTCATGAAATTTTCCTCTAGCACAGTCTTATGAAGGCGGTCCAATAGACTAGCAAGGTACTCGAATCTCTCACAGTATTCCATCACTGAACCATCCTGTGTCAAGACGAAGAACTTCTCGTAGAAGTCTCCTTCTTTGCCAGTTCGGAAACATTCTACCAAACAATCCTTGAACTCCCTCCTGTCCCTCCACTAGTACTAAGCCAAAGCCTTTCCTTCCAAAGATAGGCCAACTGCCGTCAGTTTCTCCTTCTCTTTCAACTTGTTGACAGTAAAGTATCTTTTCACCCTGTAGATCCACCCATGTGTATCATCTCCTTTAAAAATAGACATCTTTAGTTTCCTCACTCTCAGTTCTCCTCCGACAACTCTACTTCCTCCAAAATTTTCCATTCCCCAAGGGGGTGGTTCCCCCATCTTGTGTTAATCATCTCTCCTCCGCTCGCACCCAAACCTTTCACCACAAGCCCACCTTCTCCCTTCAGATTCAGCACCCCTTCGATCATATTCAACCCCTCTCCTTTCAAATTCGACACCTTTTCGATCATAATCAAGTCATCGCCTTTCAAATTAAACCTTTCTTCTTTCAAATTCAACATCCTTCCACTCATGCCCAACCCCCTCATGCCTCTTTACATACCTTTTACCCGACTCCTCCCTAGAAAGCCTTAAGGGAGGCATTTTTCTGTTCCCTCCAAAATCTCCACCTCATGATCTTCCATTCATCTGATCGGCTTAGGAATTTCCCCACTTCCTTAGCTATTGGCGCCTTCCCTCACCACCGACGGCGATATTTTGGTTTGGCCCTCAAACATTTTCTTCAACATCTCCACCAGGATGGAATATTTTGAATCGAACTTATCAAGGATGGCTGAAATATCCTTTTTATATCTGAAATTTGAGTTTGGAAATCTAAAATTCAAGATTTCATTTGTCTGATCTCCCCTTCCAATACTTTCACCTTTCTTCCAGCCATGGGAGCCTGAATTTCCAATAGCAAAGATCAACAAGCTTGACGCGAAACTAACCTCCCAAACAGCAAAAACAACAAGATCAGAGAGGAGAACGCAGCAGAAATCAACGAGAAAGACTTCTATTTCAGCCCAGGAAATTGCTCTGATACTAATTTGATAGGAAACACTTGAAGATTTCTAGTAAATCCTATCAATTTCAAAAAAAAAAAAACAACGAGATTAAAGTTACAAGTTTCGTAAGTTTGTAAAAATATCTTCGAAGCATGCAACTTAAATGAGCGGTCAGCCATGGTAAAAGAATGAATGAATAAATAATGTTTTCTTTTTTAAAATTATGGCTGAGAATCAACATATGTTAATGGCAAATATGGCTAAATTTAAAAAAGAAACACTATAAAAAATTCTATAGCAAAAAAAAAAAGTAATCAGGATAAATTTATTAAGAAGCTTAAACACTAAAATATTTTACATTTTTACAAAAAAGGCAAATGTATTTTGCATTTTTTAAGTAATTTAGCATTTTCTTCAGAAAATGCTAACCATTTTTGCATTTTCTTAAGAAAATGCAAAAAAATAGTGTTTCTTAAGAAAACGCAAAATATTTTTACTTGTCTTAAGAAAATACAAAGACATTAAAAATATTTTATGCAAAGTAAATGGTGGTGAGTATTCACACCGAATATTTGTTTAATATTTATTTTATAAAATATTGTATAACTGATACTCCATAAGGTGAAAAGACAACACCTTTATCAATTCCCTCGTCATCACAAACGGTAAGAACCTGAAGAGTTTGGTCCTTACACCTGTGCTCTGGAGTATACTTCTCGTCGCATCTGAAATAGATTCCCTTCGCCCTCTTCTCCTGTAATTTCGTTTCTGTCATCTTCTTGATGTTGTCCCCAATGTCTTCCTCCTACAGGCTTTTCCTTTGAAGTCCCACGAAGAATATCTGGTGTTGGCTCCGTGGATGCCAATAAGGCGGTGGTCATCCTTTACGAGTCTCCTGAGCTGCTGCCTCCTATCCTTCTCTATAGGTGTCTCTAATCATCCACCAACTGAGCTAGATCCATGGCCTCTCCCAAGTCACAAGGCCTCATCACTCTAACTGCTATCCGGATCTTTGGTGTCAGTCCCTTCATGAAATTTTCCTCTAGCACTGTCTTAGGAAGGCGGTCCAATAGACTAGCAAGGTACTCGAATCTCTCCCAATATTCCATCACTGAACCATCCTGTGTCAAGACGAAGAACTGTTTGTAGAAGTCTCCTCCTTTGCCAGTTCGGAAATATTCTACCAAACAATCCTTGAACTCTCTCCAACTTCTTATGGGTCGTCGCATGTCTCTCCACTAGTACTAAGCCAAAGCCTATCCTTCCAAAGATAGGCCAACTGCCGTCAGTTTCTCCTTCTTTGTCAACCTGTTGACAGTAAAGTATCTTTTCACCATGTAGATCCACCCATGTGCATCATCTCCTTTAAAAATAGGCATCTTTAGTTTCCTCACTCTCAGTTCTCCTCCGTCAACTCTACTTCCTCCAAAATTTTCCATTCCCCAAGGGGGTGGTTCCCCCATATTGTGTTAATCATCTCTCCTCCGCTCGCACCCAAACCTTTCACCACAAGCCCACCTTCTTCGTTCAGATTCAGCACCCCTTCGATCATATTCAACCACTCTCCTTTCAAATTCGACACCTTTTCGATCATAATCAAGTCATCGCCTTTCAAATTAAACCTCTCTTCTTTCAAATTCAACATCCTTCCACTCATGCCCAACCCCCTCATGCCTCTTTACATACCATTTACCCGACTCCTCCCTAGAAAGCCTTAGGGGAGGCATTTTTCTGTTCCCTCCAAAATCTCCACCTCATGATCTTCCATTCATCTAATCGGCTTAGGAATTTCCCCACTTCCTTAGCTATCGGAGCCTTCCCTCACCACCGACGGCGATATTTTGGTTTGGCCCTCAAACATTTTCTCCAACATCTCCACCAGGATGGAATATTTTGAATCGAACTTATCAAGGATGGCTGAAATATCCTTTTTTATATATGAAACTTGAGTTTGGAGATCTAAAATTCAAGATTTCATTTGTCTGATCTCCCCTTCCAATACTTTCACCTTTCTTCCAGCCATGGGAACCTGGATTTCCAATAGCAAAGATCAACAAGCTTGACACGAAACTAACCTCCCAAACAGCAAAAACAACAAGATTGGAGAGGAGAACGCAGCAGAAATCAACGAGGAAGACTTCTATTTCAGCCCAGAAAATTGCTCTGATACTAATTTGATAGGAAACACTTGAAGATTTTTAGTAAATCCTATCAATTTCGAAAAAAACAACGAGAAAACTATTCCAAACTCCAATGAAAATAATAAAAACAAAAGTTTTTATTGCAATAATCAAAGATACGGCAGGAAAATACCAAAATACAGTTGATCCTCAATTCGAGAGGAGGATCTATCTCTCCCAAATCTCTAGACTCCGCTAGAGCCCGAAAAAACCTAAACCTAAGATATCTCAAAATTTAGCCAAATTCAAGATGCCCTAACCCTAGGAAAACAAATTATTTAATGCATACAATTCAAAAGGAAATCCCTAAATAGCCCATACTTTGAAATTTCCCTCCCAACTCCCATAAAAAACATTCCTAAATAGCTCATTGAAGAGTTGGGTGGTCGGCTCCTGCATACAGGAGGCGGAGAATCTTCCGCCTATTGCTGCTTATTTGACAAACATGGGGAAATCTAGTTATAAACTTTATCACTCAATGGCACGGTCCTAAAATCAGTTTAACTGATCACAAAATCAACACCTACAGTTGCAAAGTTTACCCAACGGGCCATATAGTAAAAGAAAAGGCTCGCTTGAGTTCTTAATTATTCAACAGAACCAGTAATCTGATCATAGTGCATCATGATGCAAATGAAACAGCATCATATCATGATGATGTTACACCACCACATCGAATGGCGCCCTTCATGGGGCTTTTCAAATAAGTTCTCATCTAAAGAAAAAAAATGCAAAATCTACTCGCTACACTTTACAGCACTTTTAACACCATTAGTATCCTCTACATCCTTAAATAAAACTGCACAAATTCTCCAAATTAAATCACTTTGTTATAAGCACACATAATACTATGTATTTTCAGCTAGAAAGCATAAAATGCAACCTAAAGATTATGCCCAAAATAGGGGAAAAAACACCACACAATATCCCAACTAAAAAAAAAAATATTTGAACGGTATAAAGTTTATAAGTTTTACAGTTATTCATTCACCTATACAATATTCTTGAAAAATTTTGAATATAAACTTCTTAAAATGAAATATTTGAAAGAAAATGCAAAAAATGACATGCTCATGCAAATATTTTAGAATAAAAAAACAATGAAAATTGATTACTCACATGAAAAAGGGATGTAGGCACTAATGTCTCATAGGGTTCATTCAAAGTGACCACTCCCCCCACACCGAGCTGCTTTAGATGAGGAACATCTCCAGGGAAAGGAACAGCACCTAACAGCAAAAACTATATTAAAAAAGAGTTAGTATTGACCCTTACATGACATTGAGTACATATATGTATCCACTCTATAACACCAATGATCTGTAGAAACTCTGCAACACAACAAAATTTATAAAAATGAAAAAAATGGGATACTAACAACAGTAACTCATCTTTGACTCAAAATATGTAAGAAGTTATGTACCAAAGCAAATGAACCAAGTAATACACAAAGCAATAAATTCAGCAAAAAAAAAAAATGAAACCTAAGCCATATAGCTGGCATCTTAATCCAGAAAATGGACTATTAACCAATTCAAATGGTCTAGTAATAATAGTGTATGCCTAAAAATGTAAGTTAGCTAAGGATTTTGAACAAACACAACATTCATAACTTTAACATAGGCCCACAAAGGTGGATAACCGGTGACAATAATAGATAGATGGAAAAGCCTCCAGCCTCCTCTCCTGGTGGCTAAATTCAAGAAACAACATAAAACCATGCCACACATATATAAATAATTGTAAATATGAAGGGACCAAACAACCAGTAAGCCACTAGGAATGAATTTCTTCAAAAAAGCAGGTGCAAAAAACTATGAAAAATGATTTGTGAATTTGGCAAAAAGTGCAATGGAAATAATTAAGAAATATCACCATTGAAACACATTTTCAGCATTAAAATGTAATCAACCTACAGAAAACTCTATTAAAAAAAAAACTATAGAAATCGTCCGAAACCTTTTTCTTTTTGAGGAAGAATCATATATATTCATGTAACACAAAATCAACACATTTTTTTACCAAAGATTTTATACAGAACTAACCCATTCGTAAAACAAAATGCTTTTAAGGTTATAAAGAAAGACTTTTCAAAATTAAAATGAACAGTTTTTAGCAAATCAATAAAAGGCTAGCGCCTCTTACAAAAGAAAGGATGTAAGTAACCTGTAGCGCAGAAAGCAATAAGTAACAGATCCCAATTTCCATAGCCAAAAAACAAAGAAACACATACAGACACACAATGAAATTCACCTAAGAAGATTAAAATGTTGACAACGCTATTTGAAGCAGCAAAATAGAAACATGAATAGCTAACAATTTTTGCAAATTTTAGTAATATAAGGAAAAGAGTTCAAAAAATTTCAAATTAATTCATTATATTCTTCATATGTCACCCAGACCAACAATATTTAAACATATTTATTTAACATAAGACAAAGTATTATAGCCATCAGTTCTACGACTAAGAATAATGCTTCAGAAGCTAAGAGAACGCACTTATGCAAGGGAAAATATGACAACAGAAACGCTATACATGGCATTTTCTCTCCTCTTTGGGGATGCAACACCATTTTAATTTCAGATATTGACAGAAATTGCACCAAACTCATTTCAACTGAACAACAAAACAAAACAAACAACAAAGGAAGGTTTGCAATGTCCAATTATAATTCAGTTCTCACCAAAATACTTAACCAATTGCATGGAAGCTTCCTCATAATTGATGAAGTATCAGTTTCATATCCCAGAGGACTTCATTCAAAGCTTCCACAAACAGGTACTTTGTTACCCCCTTAATTGTTCATTTCATGTTCTTTTAATCGACTAACATCCACAAAATAGCATGCGTTCCTAATTGCAACAAAAGTTCTAAAATTATAGAAGTGATTATCACAATCAATTAAGCGAATTCTCAATACAATGGCCGATTTATTGTTGAACACATCTCTTTTCTTTAAATTAAATCTAACAAATCAGCATGCCCTAATTCATAAATGAAATAATAACATGGATAGACATGACCAAATAAGGAAATTGAAAAAAGCGATAACAAACCTGATCAACCTCGTCCCACCAGCGGAACTCCACCTGGATCTTATTCCTCAGAACATTATAAAGAAGCGTGGGATAGAAGAGAAACCTCGCCCCGACCCCTACCATCGCCCTCTTCGGATTGAACACTCCGATCCTGCCATCATCCACCGACCCCGACACCGGCTCCTCTGCCTCGCTTCCCTCTTCCAACTCCAGGATACGCATCTCCAAATCCAAAGTCCAAGTTAAATACAATTTCAGTTCAACAAACCCTAATTTCGCTTCTCAGCATCACGGAGAGCCGAGACCCGATGTACTAGCTCAAGATTCGAAGGCCTTGATTCAGAGCGGGAGATAAAGGATGAAAAAAAAAAACCATAGGTTTCCTGGCAAATAGGGATCGAATCGGAGCCGGAGACCACAAGCTATTCGATTTCGATCACCCTTCTCTGAGTTTCCCTTTGCAGGTTCACGCTTCCCCTCTCTTTCTTCTTCCTATCTCTTGACAGAAAACCTACGGAAACGAGAAGTGAAGGACGCTTGTCCACTATCCAATCCCGATCTGAAAAGTAATATGTACTGAAGAAACTGGGTTGTACAATTGGCCTTTACTTCAGGAATAATTACGGCATATGCCAATAAGAGAATGAGCCGTTGGATTGGCAATTGATCGCCAGATGATTGAACCGTTCGATCATGCTTGCGAAATCAGGTTTTTTATTTTTACTTTTTATAAGAGCTATAAAATATAAATATGGTGACCCAAGGCCGAACAATGAGATTTTTAAAAATTATAATATATTTATTATTTATTTTAAAAATAAATTATGTGATTTGAATCCTGCAGCCGCATATGCTCCATTCGAGTATCCTGCACAACGCCTCAAAGGCCTTCAGTTGTTGACGCCTGCTTCACACCTCAACCTAATGCACCCCATTTTTCGCTTATCTTCTCTGCACGACAGCATTGCCAATTCACCGGGCTTCGCCTTCAGTTGCAAGTAGGACGTTGTTGCTGACTTCCACGGTTCGACCTAAGTCTCCTAGAGTTTCGTTGCTCACAAAAATTTTTAACAAAAATTGAAAGCCCATTTTAAGCTCTCAGGTACTCGCCAACACCTTCGTTTGTAAGCACTGACTTCGACTATTTGACCTAGTTACCTAGAGTCGGTCGAAGCCACTCTAGATTTCTTACATCCGCAACTATTGTGTCAATAAGCTCATCTGATTCAGGCTTGAAGCAATCTTCTAGTAAACAAGAGGTGCTCATTAATGTCAATTCATGGGCAAATTATTGCATCCGGTCACCGGACGCGGAGAATATGTTCGGATATCCAATAAAAACTTGTCACGTCACCCGCGCTTTTGACTGCTCTTTTGACTTGTGCTTTGACTGCGCTTTGAATGCGCTTTAGGTGTGAATGCGCTTTAGGTGCGCTTTACCTGCGCTTTTGACGCGCTTAATTTAAAATACTATTTTATTAATATCCGGACCTATCTCCGCGTCCGGTGACCGGATGCAATAATTTGCCCAATTCATGAGCCATTTATGTAGTTCATCCCAAGCCAGCTCATGGGTTAATGTGGCATGTTTTCTTGTCACCCCATAACACTCTAGTCAAATTTATTGTGAAGCTTAAACCTTACTATTTGATGATTGGCATTCTTCATGGTTAATGAAACTTCTTTTCTTTTCTGCCACCCTAATATTGGTGCTCACTGTACCTAGCTAGAAGTGTTGAAGCCATATAGTCTTAAAATTACTTGAGTTCTTATTCTTCTAAGAATTTGATTAAAAAGGTGAACCAACCCAAAATTTGTGCGACCATCAAACATGAAGGAGAGAGAGAGAGAGAGAGAGAGTAGATAGAAACTCACTCTAATATAACCCGGGGACTTTTATCTCTTAGAAATTTGGTGCTTGTTCAGGTTGACTAGTTATAAGCTAAAGAGTAGAGTGACAACTTTTAATCATCAAACTTGCACATCAAGCAATGGTACAAGGCGTGTCAATATTTGACACGATCTGAAAACTCGACACGAATCCGACCAAAAAATTCTAAGTTAGGGTCAATCTGAACGGGTCGGGTTCAGGTTCAGCAAATCAACCCGTTTCAAAAACTGGATCAACAGTTTGGGTTGATCCGGAAATCCGAAATTGACCCGTTTTGACCCGAAAACCTATTTGACTCGGAAACCCGAGATTGACCCATTTTTTACTCGAAAATCGGAGATTGACCCCTTTTTTTTACCCAAAAACTAGTAATTTTTTGTCGGCCTCAGGTCATTCGGGTCGTGACGGGTTGACCCAGACCAGAAGCGGGTCGGGCTCATGTCCGAAAAATTGACCGGTTTGCAAAAATGGGTCGATTTCAGGTTGACCCAAATAGTGCCGGGTCAGTTCCGGATTCGACCCGAACCTGACCCGTGACCCAAAATTGACACCCAACCACTATGTCATATCGAGGCAACCCCCCACACGTCATCCTTTGATGGACCTATATTAACACCAACTAAAGCGGTGCATCACATAGTTCATCCAGTGTTCCTGTACGCTGGTGCCACATAAATAATTTAATGAAGTATATAGTTGAAAGGTGTCATTTCACTACATCAATCAACTTAGTTAGGACTTAGCTATTTATTCCACTGATCAAGGCATGTACACCACAAAAGAGAAGGGTTTTTAAAGCGATTATAACAAGCTTTCATAGTGGTTAAAACTGTTGCAGAAAGTTTAGAGAGATTCTCATAACAACACAAAATCACTACATTTTGTACCCACTAAAGCACCCTTTGTTAATGATTTTACAATCACTAGCTATTTTATAGACAATATTAGATTCATGAGTCGTTAGGCTAGTCTTTTTGGCAGAATTTAAAATATTTCCTATCTAAGATCAATTGTTTCAGTCCTGGCAGAACATGCATTACTGAGTCTAAGAAGTTTTAGGATTTCTTTGGGACGACTTTTTTGTTGTTTCTTTAAATTTTTATACTAAAAAGTTGTTTTACGAAGCAACGAGAAAGCCATCCCAAATGAAGCCTTAGAGACAATATTATGCATGCTAGAGACATTATGTTGTGTAAGTTTTCAAGTAATTTGTAGCAATCGAGTAGTAAAGCTGATTATAGCCTTGACACTTTGAACAAAACTTAGAAGACTAAGGCTTCGTTTGTGATAACTTTTTTGCTGCCTTCTAAAACATTTTTTTAGTACAAAATTTGTGAATTAGAAATTTTGTACTAAAAAGCTGTTTTAAAAAGCAGTAAAAAAATTGTCCCAAACAAAGCCTAAGTAAATTGTAAGCTAATAGATCTTAGTAGTAGTTCATTTATTCAGGGACAAAATAACAAACAAAAAATGCTTTGGGAATTGACATTTGCAATGATTTATTTAAAGAAATTTTCATGACAGGGACTGAGCTTATATAAATTAATTACGACTTTCTTGTAATGCTTAATTTTTTTCCTTATTGATATAATTTTGATGTTGTTAATTATAATAAGTTAAAATGATATGCAACATGAAGTAATGATATGCTTATTAAATATTGACAGAGTTGATTCAATTATGTCTAATTATGAAATGCACTCCTCTCTCTTTTTCTCTCTCTCACTCACAAACAAGAGAAATTATTATGTGCGGACGCAAATAGGGGTGTCAATTCGGGTCAGCCGTCGGGTTCGGGTTCGACCCGTGCACGGGCAGCTGGCGAGGGCAGCGGGAAATTCAAAAATTTTTAAAATAAACGGGTTTTCGGGTTGACTCGGCAACCCGTCGGGTCAACCCGACTCGACCCGTTTAATAGACCCGACCCTTTTTATCAAAAGGGTCGGGTTGAATCTGCGAACCAGGACCCGACCCGTTTATCAAACGGGTCCGAGTCGGGTTGTCGTGTCGTGTCAAATATTGACACCCTAGACGCAAAATACGGTTCATCATCCGGAGATTAACTAGAATGCGTCACATCAGCATCACTGATCCGCGGTACAAAGCAGCAGTACCGAGCGGGGGGTGATGTGGCACATTCGATTGGTCTCTGGACAGCGTTTGGCGTCCGAATGGAATAATTTCTCCACACACATTCTCTTTGTAGCGATGTCCTTCTTTTAATTTGCTAGAGTAGCTCATAAAAAATTTACACATGTTTCAAATACAAAATGATTTGCATGATAAAGGTAAAACAAAACCATGCCAAACAAGTACATGATTATAACTAAATTTATTTGAATTTTTTACAATAGCGAGAAGAAATCAACATATAAGTTCAAGAAGAATGTTGTATAAGTTAGCAACACGAAGTATAGTCGGTAAACACGTTCCTTAAATCTTTGAAATCAAGTGTCAAACATTATTTTTTTCATGAAAAAAAATTGCAAAGAGTATAGTTGTGTCAACTATTAAATTTCATTGATTTTTGGAAGGGATGGCAATGACTGGCAGGGAAAAAAGGAGATGGTGGATGGAAGAAGCAAGCGGAAGAATAAGAGCAAGGCTTGGGTGATGAAGAGATAGCAGGAGGGGTGACCAAATCTAGCTAGGGCAAAAGGTGGCAGTGGCAAGTAGCCAAATGATTGAGAGCAAGAAGTGGAAAATTGAGAGAAAGGGCATGAGAAATTTAGAGATCATAAGGCTATTTAGGTTATGGGTGAAGGGGCTGAAGGGTATTCAATTGATGGGTGCATATAATGTCGTAGTTCTGATTTTTTATGTTGATAATGTAACAATAGCAGTAGTTTAAATCACTGCTAATGGGTTATAAAAATAGCGCTTAAAATCATTGTTAAAGATATAAATTATCAGAGTTTTAAAACATTGATAAAAAATGCTCTCTAAATGGTAGCGATGCCTAAAATATTTTACATATTAGAGTTTAAATAGAAGTAACCCTATTACAAAATAGATCATTGCTTTAGGTGTAGAGGAGAATAAAGTTTCATAATTTGGAGAGATAAGGGAATTTAAAATATGAGGAAATGGGGATTAATGGAAGAAGGAGATCAATAAAGATAGGGGGATTTACATAGAGAGAGAGAGAGAGAGTTACACAAGTGAAGAGAGACGAGAAAGAGCGAAGTAAATATGACAAGAGTGAAAAAGAGTGAGGGGAACGAGAAAATTATGAAGGGAGGCATGAAGAATAAAAAGAAAAGAAAGAAATATAACTATATATTAGCCGGTGAGTAAAAGAAGGATGCTATAAAGTGAGAGAGGGAGAGAAAAAAAGAGAGAATGAACATAAGCAAAGTGACGTTCTCGAACTAGAGAGGAGTTAATAAGGTGCAAGAGAGTAAATGACAGGACTTCGAGAGGAGAATGCATTCAAATTCCATGCCATTATAATGTCAATTTAATCATATTCCATTCACCATATTTGTCTCAATGATCCTATTATACTTACCTTGTAAGTGGATGCTACATAAATCCTAAAGCAAAACAACCAATGATGTGCAAGCCTCACCAATAGAAAATGATACCATGACAATTGATGCCTTCAGTTTACAATGGTAGGATAGTCAATCTTAGTTGCTCACAAATTTAGTGAAAATAATTTT